AGTAAATCTTTTTTTTAAAAAATGTCCTGAAACAATTTGTAACACTCAAGAAAAAAGAAACAGGTAGGTAGTGTAATGGATGTATTAACTGGTAGTTACATCAGAAATATTGCTGAAAATTTTTATATGAGGAAGTAGTAAGTGATATTAAAAGGACACCAGGTGTTTGATGGTAGAGCTTTATGATCACTTTGGTTTGTTTTATAAAATCAATATTAAGAACGTATGTTGAGTGGTTACTGTACACCATGCTTAGGATAAGTGCTTTACGTATATGGTAATGAACTATACTAGGAACTTAAATAAGTTAAATCACTTGTCCATGACAGTGATACCCAGTGGTGGCACCCATTGCAATCTTGATTCCAAAGTCTATACTTTTAACTTTTATGCTTTCTATTTACAATCTTGGATCTGAGATTAAGAAGCTTCCCAAATATTACAATGGCCTTCTGTCCCTTGTTTAAAAATAAATATTTCAATATTTATTGAGGTATTAATTCTCTAATTTTCATTTATACAAATCCCTTAATGTTGTCCTGCATTCCAATTTCCCGCTTTGGTAATTCTTTACACTATTTCTGAATTTAGAGACCAATCATATTAAAAAAAACAATCACTTTTGAGCTATCTGTATTTCCTCCCAATTATTAAGTCATGTAAACTTATTATATAGCTTTGCTCAGGAGGTACAGCTCCATCCTCATTTCCCCTACACTTCTTTGTATGTTCTCCTTGCTCCTCACCACAAATTTGTTCACATATTTCACATAACATCGAGCATTAAAAAATATAGTTAGTGGGCCCTCCCTGGTAGCTCAGCAGCAGCTTCAGTGCAAGTCTTATCCTCGGCTGTGGAGGTGATTCACATGGCACAGCAGTTCTCTCCTGTCATGTCTTGCCCACTGCTGCCCTCAGCAGTGTACTTCATCAGTCTTCCTGTTCTGCTCCCCACTCTGTCCGGTGAGTCCTCTCACCGCCTCTGCATCTCTGGCCTGTAACCCAGTTCTGTATGCATAAATAAATTAATCTTTAAAAAAAAAGAAATTAAACTCACAAAATTTCTTTTTAAAAAAAAGTATAGTTAGTATAAAATAGTGGTAGGGAACATTGTATAAAAGTTACTTTTTTTTTTTAAAGATTTATTTACTTATGTATATAAGAACTAGGATACAAGCCAGAGGGGTGGAAGGTGAGAGGATTCACATGAGACAGAGTGGGAAGCAGAACAAGCAGAACGACTGAATTACACTGCTGAGGGCTGCCATGCCATATGGGTCACCTCCCTGCCAGAGACCAAACTTGTGCTGCAGTGGCTGTGGATAGCTTCATAGTGCTATGTTTTAAATCCTTAAGCCACCAGGGAGGCCCCTTCCTTTTATTTATTTTTTTTAACTGAGGTAACACTGGTTTACAACATTATGATCAGACCCCTTCCAGAGTATTTTACCAAACTACACGAAGGAAGCCATTGTCCACCCTAATAGTGCTTTGGATACCCTCCAGTCTCACACTTGTTACTTGCTGTCTCTATTTTGCTTATCCTAATTTTGAGCTGTCTCTATTTTGCTTATCCTAATTTACTTACCTTTCTTTTTCCCTAAAGATATTCTAGAAGACTTTTCACTTGAATTTACCTTTATATGATTTCTATATTTTAAGGTTGTAATGTACCAGCTTACCAGTTTCTGTATTTTATAACCATTAGATTTTTCTTGTAGATGTTTGTAGCTTGCTTTATATTTGACTACATGGCTATCTTACTGACTGAAATACATTTTATTAATTTTTTTTAGTTGTTCTTCCCAATCTAAAATCAGAAGATACACCTTGCCTTCTTTCTGTAGATCTGTTTCATGTATTGGTAAGTGTTCAATTAAAAAAAAAAATTCAGTCCTATTATAGGTGGCAAATGTTTTATGAGTATTTTGCAGAGTTTTTTTCCCAAACAAATTCTCTAGAGAAAACAGTGGTAGGTTAGGAACATAGAGTCTGTAGCCATTGGGTTAGCCATATTCATTACCCAGGCCTCTGTCCAGTAGCTGTCAACACTGACTTTTGAAATCTCTTGGGGAAGTCAGTAAAAAATGCTGATCATAGGGCTCTACCCACAAAAATTCTGATTTGGTTGGTGTGGGATTATATTAATGTTATTTTTTTATTAGTGTTTATATTAGTGTTATATAAACAACTGCCCAAGTGATTACAACTATGGGGCTGTGAGACCACTATCTAGAACTATAATAAGTAGACCCTGCAAAGGGATAATCTGTATAATCGGTGACATTTGTCCTCTATGTGTGGTATATTTTCTAAGATGATCTGTTGAATAATTAGAAACAATACTGTGGTTATAAACAAATACTGTAGCTACAAACAAAAACCTATATATGCTTTGCAGTTTTTATTGTTCTTTTCATTCACTTAGGGCAAAATTTGTATTGGTGATTGTTATGACCCACGTTAATACCCATTTTCTGTCACAGGTAGGTGCTGTGTTAGCATTTCCATCCTTGTATTGGGAGAATAATGTTGAGTTGCAGGCCTCACCAGAGAGTTCTTCCTATAACCATCTTTATCTCTTCCATCTGATCACCATGGCACACATACTTCAGATACTTCTTACCATAGATACAGGTAAGTTCCCACTGATTATTAACTGGTTTAAATGGTAGAAAAATTCTGAAAGGGATAATTAGCTAAATCACTTGAATCTCTAGCAACTTGCAGTATTCTCCCAATAAACAGGGAAACCATTTGAACCTGTTTTTTCTACTGAGCAAATTTCCCAGTCTCAAAGCTCGGATTTAGTCTCTGCAAGGTTTTTCTTACTTGAATATTTTCAACCTTTTAATAAACCTGTCTGTGAAACTGTTCTTAACTCCTCCAACTACAATAATATTTCATTGACCTTACAGCATATATCATAAGGTCTTTTGTTTTATAATTAATGTTATTGTCCTACTCTTTTCTCTGCTTCTCCTTTTAACCTGTTCTTCCATTCCCACTGTAAATTTCTTTTTTTTTTTTAAATATTGATTTATTTTATACATACAAGAACTGGGTTACAGGCAGGAAGTGTGGGGCTGTTGAGAGATTTCCCCAGAGACAGAGTGGGAAGCAGAAAGGCAGGTTGACTGAAATACACTGCTGAGGGGGGCAGCAGGTGGGTCAGGAGAGGTCTGCCATGCCATGTGGGTCATCTCTCTGGCCAGGGATAAAACTTGTGCTGCAGTGGCTACAGAGAACTTCATAGTGATGCGCTTTAACCTGTTGTACCACCAGGGTGGCACACCCACTGTAAATTTCTTGACTGCTGAACTCAAGTTTCAGAATCTTCCTAATTAAGCTTTAAATATTTGGCAACTTTTGTTATAGCCAGTAACTAAACATTAAATATTTTTAAACACATATTCATCTGAGGGTTAATAGATAAGTAATATAACATCATGGAATTATGTTATAATTGTTACTTTATGCTCTGTTCTTTATATAAAGTGAAGTCTGGCTCTGGCTATCTGTGATAAATAAAGGCTACTGAAAACTCAGAAAATGTAGGGGACAGGTAACTTAAAGCATTATCTAACAGTGGAACAAAGAAAGAGCTGGGAAAACTGGGAAGCTACATGCAAAAAAAATGAAACTAGATCACTACCTCTCACCATAACAAAAATTAAAGACCTAGACATAAGAATGGAAAACATAAAATACCTGGAAGCAAAGATGGGTGAAACACTACACAACGTACACTTCAGTAATATCATTGAAGATACAGGACCCAGTGCAACGACAGTAAAAACAAGGATAAGTAGATGGGACTACATCAAGTTAAAGAGCTTCTGTACAGCAAAAGAGACATTACAAAAAACAGACATCCCACTGATTGGGAAAAAATTTTCTCACAAAAGTAGCAATAAAGGATTGATCACAAAAATATAGGGAGAACTTATGAAATTCAATAAAAATAAACAACCCCCTCAAAAAATGGGCAGAAGAGCTAAAAAGACTTCTCCAAAGAGGAAATGCAGATGGTGAAGAAGCATATGAAAAAAGGTTCAACATCACTTGTAATAAGGGAGATGCAAATTCAAACTACAATGAGATACCACCTTACCCCAATGAGAATGGCACATCTTCAAACAACTATCAACAACAAATGTTGGTGAGGATGCGGAGAAAAAGGAACTCTCCTACACTGCTGGTGGGAATGCAAACTAGTACAACCAGTATGGAAAACTGGAGGTTCCTCAAACTGCTAAACATGGAGCTTCCCTATGACCAGAAATCCACTCCTAGGTGTCTTCCCAAAGAACACAAAAACGAAAAGATACCTGCATCCCCCCCATGTTTATTGCTGCTTTATTTACGATTGGAAAGACATGGAAACAACCCAAATGCCCAAAATTAGGTGACTGGATTAAAAAGATGTGGTACATAAACACAATGGACTATTACTCAGCAACCAAAAAAAATAAACACATGCCTTTTGCAACAACATGGATGGAGCTGAAAAAGATCATGCTTAGTGTAATAAGCCAGAAAGAAAAACTACCAGATGGTTTCACTCATAGCAGGATAATTACAGACCAGGAGAGAAAATAATAATAATACTAATGAACAGAGACATTTTATGGGGTGGAGTGGGGAATGGGATCAAAAACAGTGAGGGGAGGGAAATGCTCTGGACTATGGTGATGGCACGTGGGTGATTTGGTGATGGAAGCCCATGGGGATTACAACTGAAATGGAAAAATGCACAAAATGATATAAAAATAAACTATTATATTATTTTTTAAACAAACATTATGTAGCAAAATTATAAACAGAGTTACCTTTGACCCACCAACCCCTTTCTAGTTCTATACCAAAGCTATAATACTGATAAAAATATGAACAGTTACAAGTACAATATTCTGGCATTATTTAGAAGAGTAGAAAACTGGAAGATTGATTGAATAACCAACAGTATTACCTATAATGAAATGTTGTATAGCTATAAAGGGGAATGGACAAGATCTACTAAAGAAATAGTCTCTAAGATATATTCAGTAAAAGCAGGTTATAGAATAATAGTTGTACCTTTGTATAGGTTATTTTATGAATATATTTTGTATGTACATATATTCTTACATACATTCATGTTTGCTTTCACTTTTTGTAAGTGAAACAGTAAAAGAGTAAAAGTGTAAAGCAAAAGGTAATAAGGACAGTAAGTTGAGCAAAGACTTTTAATGTAATTTTCATTCTAGACCCTTACAATTTACCTAACTAAAAAAAAATGGGAAACATAACTTTGAAAGATTGAAAACAACCAATGAGCCTGCCTTTTTTGTTTAAAAGATTGAGAAAATAATGGCATAAATGACTTTGTTACACAGGTTTTCAAGAATATTTTTATAATAGATATATTCTGAATACAAGAGAACTACCAAGAAAATCTTAAACTGAATGCATATTAGTGGTACTACTGGTAACTAGGACTGTTACATTGAAATTATTTTAGGTAATTTGGGGTATAAACTATGTAAGAGGTTCTGTTAATGTCATTGGCTACAAAGATTTTCAGCAGAAGAAGGAATATATGTAAGCATAAGTTCAGAAAAACTGAATAAAAACCCAATAATATCTTAATCAAAAACCACAGCAACCCCATTTTCTAAATGCATTAACATACATATTCTAGAATTTATATGAAGAGGTAAAAGACCAGAATAGCCAACTCACTGTTTAAGAAGAACAAAGTTCAAGAACTAAAACTACACAACTGTAAAGTTATAGGAATCTAGACAAACTGGTGTTGGTGAATGTACAGAAAAATGAAATAGAAGAAAGAATCTTCAAATAAACACATAATAAATATAGCCAACTAATCTTTCATGAAGGAGCAAAGGCAATATTGTAAAACAAAGATAATCTTTTCAACAAATGGTATTGAAACAACCAGACCTTCAGTATTTAGACAGACTTTATACCCTTCACAAAAATTAACTAAAAATGTACCACAGTGTTGGATATGTAATGACTCTTTAGATAGAACACCAAAGGACAATCTATGAAGGAAATATTTGGTAAGCTGGACTTCATTAAGTTAAAAACATCTGCTCCACAAAAAACAATGTCAAGAGAATGAGAAGACAAGTCATAGACAGGGAGAAAGTATTTGTAAAACATAACACCTGATGAAGGATTGCTATTGAAAATAAGCATTCTTAAAATTCAACAGTAAAAAAAAATAAACAACCTGATATCAGATGGGCAAAAGAACTGCACAGACACCAAGATAGATATACAGATAGCAAGTAATCATATAAAAAGATGTATAGGGGCCTCCTGGTAGTACAAGGGGTTAAATCTCAGCACTATGAAGCTCTCCATAGCCACTGCAGCACCATTTTGATCCCTGGCCAGGAAGCTGACCCACATGGTATAACAGACCTCTCCTGTCTTGCCCACTGCTCCCCTCAGCAGTGTATTTCAATCTGTTACCCTGTTCTGCTCCCCACTCCGATGAACCCCCCCACCTTCCCATACATCTGGTGTATACCCCAGTTCTTATATGCATAAGTAAATAAAAATAAATCTTTTAAAAAGAAAAGGTGATCAACATGATGTAACATTAGGAAATTGAAAATTAAAGCTACAATGAGATGCCATTTGCAGTACATGGATGGAGCAGGAAGAGATTATGCTCAGTGAAATAAGCAGGAAGGAAAAAGAAAAATAGTGGTTTCACTCATAGGAGGACTGTAGGGGAACAAATAATAATCAAGGGGAAAAATCAATAAAAAGACAAAACTACTAGGCAGTTATAAATGAGAAGACAATCTGCAGAGGAGGGGGAGGAAGAGGAATTAAAATGGGCAGGAAGAGCACAAGGGACTATGGTGGTGGGTATTTTACGGGAACTATTCCTGAGAGGAAAAATCAGTGTACAAAATGAGCAGTAATGTAAAATAAACATGTGACAAGGTTTTTTTTTTTAATTAACTTTATATTTTATATTTTAAAGCAATTTCAGATTAAGAGCTAAATTGGGCAAAAAGCGTGCTCCCACATACCCACAATCTCTCCCATACCCAAGTAATATGTTTGATAAGTGACACATCATTATTACCTAAAGTCTATATTTACATCTGTGGTATTGTATTATCTATGGGCTTTGGCAAGTGTATAATGACATGTATCCACTATTACATTGTCATGCAAGGTAGTTTTAATATGAACTGATGATATATTTTCCTGCTTATTAAAATAGGTATGTATTTTCTCAAGGCATCTTATTTGAAATAGAACAGTATTCATCCAAGGATAAACCACTTAGGACAATTCTAATTGTGGCCTTCCAGATGAATTAATGTAAAAGCAAAAGCATTTCTAAATGCTTTTGTAAAAATGAGAGAAAATGTAAAAAATTATTCAAGTGGCTGTACCACCTCTCATAGCAAACTGCAAGGTAGTCATTTTCCTTCCCATTTCAATGTAATAAAAATCAAATTTTGAGAACTTAAGTGGCCTACTCAGAGCTTAACCTAAGTGGGAGAGTTAGCAGTTGCTGCTGGATTTAAGAAAGTTCTACTTAAGGATAGGTAAGTGGAGGGAAATGATGCCACAAACTGTGGGTGTGTTTGCTTGAGTGCAAAGTAGGACAGCAATATACTTTCTTTGTAGAGGCTGAATTTCTAAGAGTAGTAATGTGGAGCAAGTAGATGATGATCTCTGTTTAATTGGTCATATTATAAGGAGGTAAATATGTAGCATGCATGTTTCACAAGTCTCAAATTCTGCCTGTTTGTTTCTTCAACTGATAAAGTTTACCTAATCATTGTATATTCAAAATCAACTACTTATCAGAATTTCTTTTTCAGGGCTCCCTCTTGCTCAGGTTCAAGAAGAAAGTGAAGAGGCTCGTTCTGCATCTTCTTTCTTGGCAGAAGTTTCTCAGTATACAAGTGGGTGAGTTCATTAGTTCAGACTACTTCAGTGTTGTTTTAATAATTCCATATCTTTATTCAGTTATTTGGCAATATAACTTTTGAACCACTTCAATTCCAGTTTTAAAAACCAATTAAGGCATTTTTAATAATAGCTACCTATTTCTGAGATCGAAACAAGTTTTGATGCATCTTTACTTTTTGCCAAAAAAAAAAAAAAACAGCAGAAATTGATAAAGTTTTAACAAATGGCTGCATTTATAATTTAAATAGATAAAATATGTTATCCTTTTAAAGCAACTCATGTACTTGATGCAATTAACTAATTAAAGGTTTTTTCAAGATGTATCAGTAATATGTAAAATATAATGACAATGCAGAAGAATTCCTTTGCCGAATTTCAACTGCTGTCAGATTTACCTTTTTGTTTTCATCTTCATGACTTTTTTTTTTGGCTTAGCTACTGAATTTGTATTTTACAAATGTATTTATTTTTAAGTGAATAGACTTCTGAACTGTGTTAAACTTACAGAAAAATAAAAGAGAAAGAACTGAAATCCCTGTTCATATTTATTTATTTAATTCATTCATTCATTCATTCATTCATTTATGCACGCATGCATACAAGATCTGGGGTACACCAGGCCAAAAGGTACAGGAGCAGTGAGAGGAATCACCAGAGACAGAGTGGGGAACAGAAGAGGCAGAATGACGAAGTACACCGGGGCAAGACAGGAGAGGTCTGTCTTCACCATGTCAGTCACCTCCCTGGCCAGGGATCACACTTGAGGTCTAAATTCATGCTGCAGTGGCTGCAGATAGCTTCATATGTTGTGCTTTAAACCTGTTGCACCACCAGGGAGGCCCAGAATTCCCCATCACTCTTCCCACTTACCACCAGTTTGTTCTATTAACTTCTTTCATTAGTACAGTACATTTGTTAAAGCTGGTAAGTCAATACTGACACATTGCTAGAAACTGAAGTTCATATTCAGTATTCACTCTGTGTTATACTATTACAGTATTACGGTATATTTCATTGTTGTACAAATCACCAGTCTGTTTTATAATAATAATCCAGAAAAAAATTCTTTTAGCTAATTTAGCTGCTTTAGTTATTTTTTAATATACATATATATTATAAACATAAATACAAATATAAATGCACTCTACATTTCTTTATGAGGATTTTAATCTCAAAACAAAAAAAAAATCAGTCTTTAACAAGCTTTAAATTTTATGAGGAGTGAACTTATTTTTAAAGAATCAGATTTCTTTACATTAGTTTTCTATATCTGAGATTAATATTTGAAGGGCCTCCCTGGTGGTACAGAGGTTGAAGACACTGTGCTGTCAAGTTATCAGCAGCCACTGCAGCATGAGTTCGATCCCAGGGCAGCCAAGGAGCTGACCCACATGGTGCATCATATCTCCCCTGTCTCACCTGCTGCTCCCCTCAGGAGTATATTTCAGTAGATCTGCCTGTTCTGCTCCCCAGTCTGTCAGGTGAATCCTCTCATCGCCCCCCCAACACACACACACACCTCTGGTATACACCCAGTTTTTGCATGCATAAATAAATCTTTTTAAAATATTTGATCACGGCCCTCCCCGGTGGCACAGCCGGTTAAAGCGCAGCACTGAGAAGCTGAGGCCACTTCTGCATGAGTTCGATTCCTGCCTTCCCCGGAGGTGACCACATGGCGTGGCAGACCTCTCCTGGCCCCCCCGTTGCTCCCCTCAGCAATGTATTTCATAGATCTGCCTATTCTGCTCCCCACTCTGTCTCTGGTGAGGCCTCTCGCCGCCCCTGAGCCTCTGGCCTGCACCCCAGCTCTGTATACACAAATAGATATAAATCTTTAAAAAATAATAATAATAATAATAATAAATAAATAAAATATATTTGATCACTCTACCAAATTTTTTAACAAATTGCAAGATTTATAGGGTTTTTCTTTAGGAAATTATTAAGGCCTATAAACACAAAAATTGTAGCAAGTTAAATATTTTGTTTTAAATCTTTAAAAATTAAATGGCTAAAAAATATTGGAATGCCTAGCTTTATTTTTTGAAAACCAGTGTGTTTAAAATCTAAGTTTTGATCTCATCATTATTCTGTTCTGTTCTGGAATTATTGCCTCTTAGGTGCATTGGGTGTAGTATTCCTGGATGGTATTTATGGGTCTCCTTGAAGAATGGCATCATCCCTTACCTTCGCTGTGCTGCATTGTTTTTCCACTATTTATTGGGAGTAACTCCACCTGAAGAACTGTTTACCAGTAAGTAGAAAATAAAAGTCACAGAACAGTCAATGAGAAACTTTTTTTCTTTAGGAATACAAAGTGATAACAGTTAAATCTGGTTCTCCATTCCCATCTCTTATGTCAATGTTCACTCCAAATATGCATGCCTCTACTCAGGTGTAGGTTAAAGATCAAGCCAAGAACCAGATTAGCCTCATAATCTAGAAAACCTATTCACAGCACTTATCCATGTATAATTTATGTGCTTGAGCTAAAAAAATGCCAGCACAAAGAATGTAATTGATAGGATATGTAAGATAGTAGAAACAAGGGTTGGAAGAGAATTGTTTGGCTTATAAAGAAAAGTCGTTGGGCCCTCCATGGTGGCATAGTGGATTAAAGCACAGCACTATGAAGCTACCATAGCCACTGCAGCACAAGTTCGATCCCCAGCCAGAGAGATGGACCCACATGGTACAGCAGACCTCTCCTGACCCACCCGCTGCTCCCCTCAGCAGTGTATTTCAGTACATCTGCCTGTTCTCCTCCCCGCTCTGTTTCTGATGAATCCTCTTACCCCCTTGTACCTCTGGCCTATACCTCAGTTCTATATGCATAAATAAATCTTTAAAAAAGAAAGAAAAATTGTTTGAATTTTAACATATATTAAAAAATTAAAATGCTGCTGGGAAAGGCCTGCTGTAGTGAACCAGGTCCTTGTGTATTTGAATAAGAGTCTTGTTCTTTCTCATTTACTTGCCTTAAATCTAGATAAAAATAGAGAAGACTTACTTGTAGCTTTGTATGGGTACAAATCAGGATATTTCTGATTTTGAAGAGTCACCGAAATTGCTCAGATATTTTTTCCTTTGTCCTTTGAAATTAAACTGATTAATCAGGACAAGTTTACTGACTGTCAGCTTCTTTAACTGGAACTCAGTTCAATAGAGTTTATTGGGTTTAGGCTTCTCCTGATTCTATATAAAATAGGAAGCTACTTTCGAAGACATTGCCAGTACAGATCTATTATTTGCATTAAAAGGAAAGAATGTATTCATTTTTCTAGTCAGTGCTGCAATAGGTGTTGCATAAGATAAAATCTTTTCTTTTATTGGGAAGCAACCAAATATAAGCAAACGTATAAATGTGTACTGTCAAATGGTGATACAATTGCTGCAAAGAGAAATAAAGCAGGTCTTAGCTATAGAAAGTTTTGAGCACAGAGTAGGTAATCGTTTTAAATAGTTGGAAGTTTGTTTATTTTTGTTTGAATTTTAAAAGGACAAGTTTATTAGGCAAAGGAGAAAGAAAAAGAGGGGCACCTGCATAGTCACAGGTGGGCAGGAGAGCTGCCACTGCTGCTTTGCAAAGGGAAAAGTTTTGTGAAAAGAAACACCTGCATAGTCACAGGCAGGCAAGGAGAGCACAGTCGTGAAAGGTTTCTGTGAGGAGACATTGAGCAAAACGGTTTTGAGAAAAGAAATGAGGCTCTTGCTCTTTTGCGGACATCACTGAAGTTGCCGGTAGTTAGAATAAAATTGAGTCCTTTTTTTTAACTTCTAATGGAAGCAGGAAACATAAAAAGCATTGGAGTGCATTCCCCACACTCACAGGAAGATTATGTCTTCCTCTTTATGTTTCCAAAGAGCTGCGACAGAAGTACAATTTTGGATCCATGCCCATCTGAAAGTATGATGAAGTTGTTTATGTGATGACACTATAAAGGGCAGCAAATTGGCATGGTAGTACAAGTCTACAAGAAAAAATAATGTCATCTACACTGAAAGAATGCAGTAAAAGAGTTGAAGGGCATAGCTGTCTGTCCATATGGGCACTCACCCAGCAAGGTGATTATCCATACACTAAAACTGGACAATGACCCTAAAAAAAGATCCCCAAGTGCAAAGCCAAATATCACCAAATAGGAAAGGAAAAGGACAATATAAGTAAGAAATCATTGAGGAAGTACAGGAATAAAGTTACCTTATAATAACTTTCATTAAAAACTTTTAAAAGAGAAATGGAGGAAATGTGATTGGTTATCTATGACAGGAGAGGGAGGGAACAAATGAAGGAGTGGAGAAGGAACAGAATAGGAAGAGATGGGGAGGACAGCTGGAGTAACATCCACCTGCACCCCTCTTATCCAGCCAACCATGACAAAAGGCCATGGTGATGGAAACAAGTGTGGTGTTCCCAACCTGTGGGCCACACTTCCCATAGGGCACAGACCAGGCCTGGATTTTCTCAGTGAAGTCCAGGTATGACTAGAGTACACTTCAGATTTGGGCCCAGCCTGGTATCCAGGATTCTGGCGTCAGCTTTCAGCAGTAGTAACGTCCCTGCCACGCCCATAGAGATGAAGTATATCATGAGTATCAGGTGTTACATGTTCAAGTCACCAAGATTAAATGTTAGGAAGGATGGCTTCAAACAGCAGAATGTGCCATGCTCCTTGGGTGTGTAAGCCATGCTAAGCACAGTGCAAGCCTGGGTGAGCTACCCCCATGGGATCAGTACCCAACCTGGTGCCTTAGACACCCCACATCCTTATCCTGGAACACTTCCTGCTCTACAGCTACAAGCGCAGGCTGAACTTCCTGACCTTGGTTGTGGAGAGTGTAAGAGAAGTACTTGAAACTACATCCTTGATGCCAAGAACCCCTCCCCTGCCTCTTCCACAGTCATTTGTGGCCCATGTACCAGAAATATAAGTGGGAAATGGAAGCCAACAGCATAGAAGGGATGTATTTGGATGGCACCAAGTCCCATGGGGAGCTCTTCTCCTAAGACCAAAAGGACATTCAGCACTTGCTTCAGAACAGCTCCTAGATGTGACTGGGGAACAAAGGCATGACTGGGGAAATGAAGGGCCTAGCCCTGGTTTGCAGGGACTTGCAGGGAACAAAGACCTTCCTAAGGGCAAATTGGCAGTGTCCCAGCTGAGCATTGCATGGCCATTTCCCTTAGGGTAAGTCTGTATACATAGTGGGGCCCCATTGAGCTCAGAATTTACAGGTTTTCCTGCACCCAACGCCAAGTTGTCTTTGTAACCTTATAGCAACTTTAGTACTAAATGAAACTTGTTGTGTCTGTCAGACTTGGCAGAGAGTTGAAAGTAAACATTATTAAACAGAAGAAATATTATATACAAACACTTCGCTTAACATAGTCAATAGAGAGTAGAGATGAATTTGGCTAAAGCAAAATGAATAGGTGACAGGAGGTAGGAGATGTGGTCCAAGAGGCAGCCAAGGATGTACCATGTAGTCCTTTGAGTCATGATAAGAACTTTATATTTTATATCCTGTAGCCATTGGACATTGAAGATATCTGATCTGGTTAATGACTCAACAGATTTACCTTTTAGAAGGATCGCTGTCCTTATTTGCCACCCACAGTATTGTTAAATGCAAAATGTATACTCTATGTATAGAAAATAGATGAGAATAAACAAATTCTATTAATTGGTCGAGCAGTTAAGAATAATGCGCTTCTTAAATATTTTTTAATCTCTTGCAGATTCTACAGAAGGAGAGTACAATGCACTCTGTAGCTATCTTTCTTTACCCACAAATTTGTTCCTGCTTTTCCAGGAGTATTGGGACACTGTAAGGCCTCTTCTCCAAAGGTAATATAAGAGCAAATACCATTTTTGGTTTATAATAAGTTTAAAATTTTTTAATTATAATTATTTGCTAAGCTTGTAGATTGATTACCATTGATTAAAGGGACTAACAACAACACAGGAGATTCTAATTCACAAACTTAGAATGTTGGAGATAATACCAACAGCTGTGGCCACTGAAATTTCTCTACCATGGTTACTATTGTTGCACTTATTTTACCCACAGCTACTGTCACATTCCAGTTTTGAATCACTGTATGTGTTGGGGGCTCCATGTTGTCATCAGGTCTACTGTCAGAACTAAGTATCAAAAGTACCCAAATTGGGCTATATAAGAAATAGCAGCACACCTCACGTGGCAGTGCACTTGTCAGTAGAATGAGCGAGAAAGAAAAAAGTCATTTGATAAATCCAGGTCATTTTGATCTGTCAGTTAAATAACCCTGGGAAAGTTCAGTTTTCTTTCTCATGATTTGCTGATAGCCTTGATCACTCGCCATACTCCTAACCTGTCTCTCATGTTGTCTTTCATGACATCATTTTCCATAATTTTTATAGTGCTCAACTCTTAACATTATTTTCCCCATGGTTTCTTCTAGGCACTTCAGTTTTCTGCCTTTCTCTTTTTTCTTTAATCAGTGTTTTTGCCCTCAAAAAACAAGATTTGTATAAATGTCTCCTGTCTCCTGCCACCTTTCTTTGTGCTTTCTTCTCTGCTACTAGGTTCTTTTCTATTTTTCCTCATTTCTCACAAGATATTTGGATCCCCACTGTGATAACAATTAATGAAAATGTTAGTTTCATGCTTTGCGTTGAATACAGTCACAATAAGTTATACTAACTTAGCTTTTATATGCTCGGCGTCAACATGTTTTGAACTTATCATTCTAGTTTAGTCACGTTTTTAAATTCAAACTTTGAAACAAAAATATTCTTGCTCCTTGTGCCATTCTTAGCCCTTCTCCCCTCAGTATTTCTTTATCCTCTGCTCTGTAGTCTCCCTTGTCAGTTGACTTCTGCCTATATTTAGTCAGTGGGAGGCTGTAACAAGAGCTTTGGAGACCAGAGACCAAGAGGCAGCTTGAGTGTTTACACTACCTCTCTCTGCCCTATGGGGCATTTCTGCCTGTGGCTATTGCTCTTGTCTCTCTCTAGTTCCCACCAGACTCTTGGCTCAAGTATCCACCAGTGATTCTAGCCCTAGGTTCCAACACTATTACCTTTTGTTCCTCCAGCCCAAGAGGAGTGGTAGCTTCCTATTATTGGCTAACCTATGGGCTGCCTTGTATTTTTGTGTCCTGTTGGCCCTCAGCCCTTCCATCAAACTTTCCTAATAATTCCTGGTGTTAGATTCCTTCTTGCTTAATTACTCAGAATAGTTTCTGTTTTTCTAGTAAGAACCTTGATTCATAAACCCCTTAAAAAAGATATAAGTAAAAGAGAGGGAGACATAAATAGGACGATATAAAAAGAAGGAAAGAAAACAAGAGAAGGGGCAATATTTAAGATAAAAAGAAACCTAAAAGAGGGCACATGGAAAGAAGAGATAAAAATTTGGAGCAATTTAGATCAAAATTATGCTGAAATTGTGATGACCTGTTTACTTTTTTCTTGACCCCAAATCTAGGTGGTGTGCAGACCCTGCCTTACTAAACTGTTTGAAGCAAAAAAGCACCATAGTCAGGTTGGTTTTTTTTCTCCCATTTTGAAGTCCTGTTATCAGAAGTCATTGATTTGTTGAGCATGCTTGTTGTCTTTTTTTGTACTCACTCAGCACATTTGTTTCCTACATTTCTGGTAAGTTTTGGCAGAAATGACATGACCTACAATATTATTCTTTATTGAATGGCTTTCCGTCCCTATTAAATTGTTTGACATCACCAACTCCTCTTCCTTATACTAATGTATGCCTATGAAGCAAAGGAGGAGTTGGCATCTTGATACTGCTGTTATATTAAAATCAGAGCATAGGGGTCCTCCTTGGTGGCACAGTGGGTTAAAGCATAGCACCATGAAGCTCACAGTAGCCACTCAGCACAAGTTCAGTCCCTGGCCAGGGTGCTGACCCTCATGGCGTGGCAGACCTCTTCTGGCCTGCCCACTTTTCCCTTCAGCAGTATACTTCATGGATTTGCCTGTTCTGCTCCCTGCTCTGCCTCTGATGAATCCTCTCACCACTCCTACACCTCTGGCCTGTACCCCAGTTCTACATGCATATATAAATAGATCTTTAAAATCAATCAAGGGCTACCATTGTATTCCTATAAACTGCTTTTTCCCCTCTTGATAAAAAAGATTTAATAGAATTATGCTCTCCTCTTTTCCCTTCCTAGCTATAGGCTTAGAGACTAACTGGCAAAACGTTTAATCAAGACCCTTCTACCTTCCTAAATCACTAGTAGTAAACTCAACAAAGGCCACAGCTACATGTTTATATTCTTTGTTACCCTTTCAGGGCCTGACTTGTATTATGTACAGGTCTAATTGCTATTCAAATTGAATTGCATCAATTAACAAGCAAAGGAATTCACCTCCAGCCTTTTTTAACCAGTACCATTTTCTAAAGGTGTAGAAAAACATTGTGAGGCCGTGTACACTTATAAGAGGTCTTTTCCCTTGAACTCCTTTTGCCGCCTTTGTAAATGTGCACATGCTACCTCCATCCTTAGCAAGATTAGTGATTTAGAAACTGTAGATCCAGTTCCTCTGCTCACATGAGATGTTTTCACATCACCAAGACAAGAAAGATCTTAGACTAGAGAGAAAAGAATCTTACGAGATAAACGTATGTTTATCACTCAATTTCTCACTCAATTTCTCCTTTGCTTTAACTCACTGTGAGCCTTTTAGACATCTGTTTTCCCAGTGTGGTCATATATTACTCTGGGAAAGTTAGAAGAAGTGACACAAGTTTTGGTTAGTATGCAATCTAATTGTGTGTATGAACTCAAATTATTGTAAGATAAGGTATAATATATGAAGTATACTGCTTAATGCTATAGAAATTTAAAAAGTAAAAGATTCTTAATGACACAAGGTTCTAGAGAAGATAAATTTTTTTCTAGGCCTTACATTATTTCTAAGATAAAGTGTTAGGAGGAGGTAAATGTTACTGAAGATAGAAGAGAATAAATATAAAATGTAAATTGCTTGGGGTTTGAGGATATAATTTCATTATTATTCTGGTAACCTTTCCAAGGTGTGCAGTTAAGGCTTATCTAGTATGTTATAATAATAACATTCACAAACATATGTCAAGTAAGGAGTTTATTAAGTTATACTTCAATATTTTATTGATTCCAAACCAACTCTGTAAAGGTCCTTCAAACTATCATTCGTAGTCAGCATTCTTGAATGAACTTGAATCGCTTATGTATCCTTTACCTGTTATTAAATTGAGGTTGTGCTTCAAGACTGAAAAGTATCAATAAATTTATCTTTAATTTGCAGGTCAGAAAATACAAATGTAGGTTCAGTGACTTCTCAGATGTCAAAGAATTTAGGTTTATAACAAGGTCTGATTTTGTTTGGTTTGGTTTTTATATTAAAAGAGTAAGTTTATTAGAAAGAGACAGGAGAGGAAAAGACACTTGCATAGGTACAAGTGGGCAGAAAGAGCTGCCCAGAAAGGGACAGGTTTGCAGAGAGAAAGAGACCTGCATGGTTGCAGGCAGGCAGCCTTAGGAGAGAGGCCTCCACTGAGGGAGGTCAGTGAGAGAAGACCCTGCATGGTACAGGTCATGGGCAGGCAGGAGGCTGCTGCCCGCAGAGGGAGAGAGTGGGTGGAAAGAAGCACCTGCATAGCCACAGGTGGGCAGAGCAGTAGCTGCTAACATGGTCGGATTTTAAAGGTGGTGTTCTTAACCACTATTATCATTTTACCTTCCTAGACAGTATAGAAATTTAGCTAGAACAGTTGTATCTTAGGAAATAATGGGAGTTGATTTTAGACAGGAAACCAGCTAGTGGAGGATTTAGATTTTTAGAACAAATTTAAATGCAATCTAGTTAACAGTAGGAATTACTGTGGATTGCAAGTTTGGATCCTTTTATCATTTTTCGAACAGATATGTACCCTTCTATTAATTGGTTAGGTTTTTTGTTGTTTTTTTACTCATTTATGTTGTTGTTTGCTTGATTAGTTTTGATCTGTATTTACTCATAAATAAAATTGCCTTTTAAATTACATTTCTAGATACCCTAGAAAAAGAAATAGTTTGATAGAGCTTCCTGATGACTACAGTTGTCTCTTAAATCAAGCATCTCATTTCAGGTAAGGAAAGGGGTTTTGGGTTTTTGACTTTTGGTTTGTCTTTTGCGCTTGCCATTATATATGCCACCTTAATTTTTTTTTTAAACAGACTACTGAGCATCCCCTATAACAGTAATTTTCAATCTTGTTTATTTTTTGTTTTTTCATTGAGAGGAAAACTACATAATATGTTATTAACCACAATAAAGTGGCCTTTAGCGGAGTCACACGTTGTGCAACTATCGTCTCTCTGGTTCCAAAACTTTTTCATAGCTCAGTGAAACACCTATACCCACTAAATGATTACTCTCTTCCTCCTCTGTCCATGTAAACATGCACATCAGAGTTTCTCTGTGGACATATATTTTCACTTCTTTTGGACAAGGCTTTCCAAGGACCAGCCTTGTTGAGTCATTATGGTAATTTTACACTGAACTTCTTCAGGAACCTTTTGCATTCCCACCAGCAATGTATAGGGGTTTCTTTTTCTCTATATCTTCAACACTATTTGTTTTCTGTTATTTTAATTAAAGCCACTCTAGTCAGTATAAAATGGTAGCTCATTGCAATTTTGATACACATTTCCTTCATGACCAGGGTTGACCATCTTCTCATGTGCTTACTGGACATTTGTATATATTCTTTAGAGAAATGATAATCAGCTCCTTAGCCTATTTGTAATGGTACTGTCTCTTTGTTGTTGAGTGTTAGTTCTTTATGAATTCTGGACATTGAAACCTTTACCAGATTTGCAAATATTTTTTCCCATTCTATCAGTTGTGTTTTGATTTTCCTGATGTCATTTGATGCATAAAAGTCCATTTTACCCATTTTTTTCTCTTACTGGTTGTTCTTTTGGTGTCAAAGCTAAGAATCCATTGCCAAATCTGAAGTGTTATAGACTATGTTATTTTTAACAGTTTTATAGTTTTAGCCCTTATGTTTAGGTTGTGGGTTTGTTTTGAGTTAATTTTTGGAATAGAGTAGGAGGTTCAACTTCATTCTCTTTGCATGTGATTTCCACTTGTCTCAGCACCATTTTTCTAGAGACTATTCTTTCTTCATTGAAGAGCCTACCACAGTCCAATTCAACAATACTCAAAAGCACTAGTTCTCAGATTTTCTTTAGCTTCCTCTTCCCTTTTACTTTGAAATTGAAAAAAATATAACAACTGCTGAGAAGCAAAAAATGCAACATTATACTCATTATTAATACCATGTAAAAATTGCCTATTTATTACTTTTATAAGAGAACAATATGAGCTTAAACACAAGTCTGTATGATACAGTAATGTCCCTAAATGAACAATAATTTTTGCTTTACTATTATTGAATAGCATATACTGCTAATGAAATATCACTGAGCGCCCTCCCTGGTGGTGCAACCAGTCAGATGCAGCACTTCAAGTTGGCTGCAGCCGCTTCAGTGTGATTTTGATCTCCACCTCAGAGGTGATCCACATGGTGTGGCAAACCTCACCTGTCTCACCCACTGCTATACCCCCAGCAGTATACTTCATCAAGCTCCCTGTTCTGCTCTCCACTCTGTCTCTGGCGAAGTCTCTCTGCATCTCTGACTTGTACTCCAGTTCTGTATGAATAAATAAATAAATCTAAAAAAAAAAAAGGATTATCACTGAGTGAAGAAACTTCATATCTGCTTTAATCATTGGTGTGTGAATATTTCATATCTGAATCACAATACATCATGTCTTAAAAATAACCTAAAACTACTATTGATGCAACTGTGTATTCTTAACCCAGAAGGCATCACACCACCATCCATAGTAAGCCAAATTGATATACATGAAACTAGCAATAACCTGTAATGAAAAAGTAAGAATCTCAGTAACCTGAAAAAAATAAAAATCAATTTATCGACTTAATTGATGATGTACTGGTAACAAAACATCCTTTTCCCAAATTGCACAAATTCCAAAGCTCAGTTAAGAATTCTGTATTGGAAGAATTCTGTAATATTTACTAAGCTTTGTGCAGCTGCCAAACTTCTTAGTAAACTTAGAGCTTTCAGTAAACACAATTAAATCTTAAATGTTGTTTTAAGTATGGCCATCAGTAATAGTAATTAAATGTCCTGGTGTATGAGGTGACTATTTGTAGTGCTTAACCAAATATTAACAAACTCTGTTATTTGAAGAAACCAGAAATAGGGGTTGTAGATTAAGATCGTTTTGTGGATTTGAAGAGCCCTTCTTTGACCAACTCTGAGAATCACCACCACACAGAATGACTAAGAAATTCTGTGTTTAGTTATAACCATTACTTTGAGTCATAAAGCCAGGGGTTTTAACAGGCTTTAATAAGAACTTGGCAACCCACACTCTAGCCTCTGTTACCAGATTGGTTTGACTGTGGTGTTAATTCCCTTTCTGCATCTTTCATGCAGATTAAAGAAATGATTGCATTACTTTATCTCAGTTCTTAAAAATTTAACTGGATGATTTCAGAGGTTGTATCCAGCTTTCAATTCAGTGATCCTCTTAATAGTAGGGCTACATTGCTACCACAGAAGCCCAATGAATAAGCATTATCTTTCAGGCACTAAAGGATACATTGTTGTTGACTCTTAGGAGATCTCCAAAGAGGGCTCATAATTAATCACAGTGAAGATCATCCCAGATGACATTAAGGTTTCAAATAAAAATGTAAATAAATCTTATGAGCTCTTCCAGTTTTATTGTGCCACCAGTTTCCATTACAACCATGCCATGTCTAATGTAGATGAGTGGCTGATTGGTTAGTGTACCTTAGACATAGTGCCCTTTTTCTTCTACAGTGATTTGGACACAGCCATCCTGCCCTAAATGTGAAAGAACATGGTGGCTTTACCAAAAAAAAAAAAAAAAAAGCTATAATTATGTTTTGGAATATCCTAGGAAGTGAAAATAGCCTCCTCTTTTGTAGTAGACAGGAATTAAATACCTATGTCAGAGTACTTCCGCACCTGGATAGACAAATGGTAGTTTCTACCATATCTTGTCTGACAAATTAGGTTTCGGAGAATAAACTTCTAATACCCTATTGGAGTTCTGTTATTTTTTTGGCTGTCTGTTTTTTGATGCTCTTTATTCTGACCCCATAATGGACCCTACTGGATCTTTCCTGTGACTGCATTTATTTTTTTGTTTTTTACTGTCCAAATTAAGGAATTCTCAGTGTTTTTCATGTGGGTTACACAATAGAAACAGGGGGAACATGAGAAGCATTGAAAAGATGGCTGTTATCACTTTGAATCAGAGTGATAACTCCCTTTGGTGGCAGGGGGCGTTATAAGCAAGGCTATAACATGCCGTCATTTTAAAGGGTCAGATGTCAAAGCATTATTTGATTCTGCTAAGTCAGCTCTTTCCTTTATCCTTCCTTAAACTTGCTGTCATTTCTAGATATAAGGTGTGTCAACTCAAAGACTGTAGTCTTTGTTTCAGCTCAAAAGATCTCAATATTATTTCAAAGAAATGGGGAGAAATTTTATTTGGACCTTTAATATACCTACTAATTTTTTTTTAAATCATATAATAGTTTGTTTTTACATTACTTTGTGCCTTTTTCCATCTCAGTTGTAATCCCCATGGGCTTCCCATCACCAGAACACCCGTGTGCCATCACCATAGTCCAGTGCATTTACCTCCCCCCACCATTTTTGACCCCATTCCCCACTCCATTCCCGTAAAATGTCTCTGTTATATATAGTTGTTCTCTGGTATATAGTTGTTCATTATTATTATTTTCTCCTCTAGTTCTTATACTCCTGCTATGAGTGAAACCATCCGGTATTTTTCCTTTTCTTTCTGACT